GGTGTGTGTGTGTGTGTGTGTGTGTGTGTGTGTGTGTGTGTGTGTGTGTAGAACAAACCTTATCTGCTCGGCTCCAAATGGCTTTAGGAGGTGGTTCTCCACTGATGGGAATCTCTAGACGAAGCTTGTTTCCTGCAATTACTGTCACTGTATTGTCAGCATCAAGACCATCCAGTATGATCTTCGGAGGATCTGGAATATTAACCGTGGCCTTTGTTATCAGACGGTTATTTCCATGTAATTATCAGGGTTAGTACTTGGCTAGTGTTAAACATTGGTAGTAACCAATATTTTATCCAGTCAAAAAGAATATAAGCGGAGTCAAAGTAGTTGGTGCCTGGTATCTTGCAAAACTCCTTCATTGTTAAGACCTCTTAAGAATCAACTATTATGATTAGTGATTACCACCAATTCATGTATTTTTCTTTAAATATCACATTTTGAATGTAATTCCAAGGTAAGCAAAACCAGAAAAACAAGAACACAACTCTGCAATGATTTCTTTTATCTACTCACCAATAACATGAACTTTGGCAGGCAAAGTAACAGAGTAGGCATCTGGTGCAAATACATAATCACCTTCGTCCTCAACGAGAGCATTGGCTATCACTAATTTGTGGATTCTAAGGAAATGAAAAAACATATTTCTAAGACTTTGCAAAGATTTAGACTGTGTAGGACCCAAACTGAGGAGACACCTGGTTTTATCTTAACTTGTTTAGTGCAGCCTGGAGAGAGACTGAGAATAAAGTGATGCCTTAATTATCCTATTCATTGATCCACATTCAGTATTTATTTTGGGCTATATGAAACTATCTCTACAAACACAGCCTGCTGACTATGCAAGAATCTCTTGTGCCTTTTTAAAATCTCATAGCTTAAAAAGGGATAGAAGATAACACCTCACTGATGCCATATTTTAAGATTCAAGAAATTACCAAGAATAACCGACTTTGGCTTTTTATGCAAGCCTAAGAGCAACAGTTCTTTTTTTTAAAAAAAGTTGAGGTATAGTTGATGTACATCATTATATATTTCATGTATACAACATAGTGATTCACAATTTTTGAAGGTTATACTCCATTTATAGTTATTACAAAGTATTGGCATAAGAGCAATAGTTCTTAACTTTATTGGCAGCATGAGTCAGTGAATATCTGATGGACACTATGGCTCCTCAATCTGGAGAAAAACAAGTATTTTTGTACACACAGAATTTGCTTACAATTTCAAAGGATTTATGGGGGCCCCTGAAGTTCCTTCACAGTCTCCTAAAAATCCATGGATCCTAGTTTAAGAACTCTTGTCCTACATCTTTGCTAGATTCTAGGATATTATGCAAACCGTCCCCCCCGCTCAGCAAAAAAAATTGTGTAAAGGTCATATGACACTTATTGATTAGGGACAGTGAATCCAATTCAACCAGTTCCTGAATTAGAATTCAGTATCCTCTAAGCTCATGTTTATATGGAAAGACTCCGTCAATGGGTTTTGAAATAACACAGCACCTCACTGTAAGGTACAGGTACAGGATCACAGGTAGGACATGATGTACAACAGAGAAATCACATATTCTTGCTATTTGAAAGCAAAGAACCGGAAATAGAGCCTCTCCCTATGAGTACTCTCCAAACACCCTTACCAATCATGTAATTTAGGAAGCAGAAGAAGTGAAGATGGGGACCAGCCCTCACTTGGGGACCACCGTAGCTTACTTACCTTCCCCTGTGAACAATCTTTAGACGGTCAGTCTCCTGAATGGGGAGGCCATTTTTAGTCCATTTTCCTGATAAGTTTTCAGATATTTCACACTTCAAGCAGATTTCCTTTCCAAGATTTACAGTCTGATCAGTCAGAGGCGTCAGTATCTTCAGAGGTTTTACTGCAGAAATAATAGATGGTTATTAAGTGCCAAATCTAAATTCCAGACAGGCCAAGATGGTGTCATTTCACAATGGTACAGTTTCACTATAATGCTTGTTTTGAAAATGAGAATTTGTTCAATGCAGTTGAAATATCTGGGGACAATTAGAGCATAACACACATTTCACGTTCGATTATGCATGATTTTATTCATGAGAAAGACTAGGTGAATCCAGAAAACGGCACCCAGCTGAACTGAGTCAGGTAGGACCACACAGAGCACACACATACGCCTCAAACATCTACCAGCTGCTTTAGTTCACCCATGTTAAATGAGCCACATCCATGCACATCTGACATGACAGCTCTCCATCCAATTTCAACTTCACAGCAGCTCACAAACTGCAACACTTCTGACAGCACTTCCACAAGCAAATTTCAGGTCTTTTTCAAGGTAAAGTGCCATACTTATTGTAGTATTTATTAACCATTTAACATCTGTAAAACTGTACTACTGTTTTTTTCTTATTAGGTTCTTATCATTTTATTTTTTAAAATATATGTCCCTGACAAAATTGTTGAGTGTTGTGTCCTTAACCCCACTTTCCCCATTAGCCCTATGATTTTTATTGCATGACTTTGTACAGCACAGTAATTTTTATAAATGCATATGTTACATTATAGCAGGACTGACTGTAATTGCTTCAGACAGATAAGGATCTGCCTATGGTTGAAAAAACTTTTTGATATTACACTACAATGGCCATCATTCCACAAAACATAAGCAGTGTATTGCGATTACTTCCAAATAATTCAATAATCATATGAATTGCACCTGAACTTAGAAAGAAATAAGGAAGCAGGGTTTCTGCTCTGCATGTATTACCGATCTTCTTGTGAAGTTCGCTATTCTAATTTTCACGGCTAACTGGAAGGGACAGACTCTGCCATTAAGAGCTGACTACCATTAGGGGGCATTTGGGAAAGGACATGAATTCTTTCACGCCTCTAAAGCATATCAGGGGACTTCCTTGGTGGTCCAGTGGTTAAGACTTTGCCTTCCAATGCAAGGGGTGCAGGTTCGATCCCTCGTTGGGGAGCTAAGATCCTAAATGTCTCACAGCCAAAAAACAGAAGCAATATTGTAACAAATTCAATAACAACTTAAAAAAAAAATGGTCCACATCAAAAAAAATCTTTTAAAAAATTGTTTTAAAAAAATAAAGCGGGCTTCCCTGGTGGCGCAGTGGTTGAGAGTCCGCCTGCCAATGCAGGGGACACGGGTTCGTGTCCCAGTCCGGGAAGATCCCACATGCCGATGCAGGGGACACGGGTTCGTGCCCCAGTCCAGGAGGATCCCACATGCTGTGGAGCGGCTGGGCCCGTGAGCCATGGCCGCTGACCCTGAGTGTCCAGAGCCTGTGCTCCGCAACGGGAGAGGCCACAACAGTGAGAGGCCTACGTATCCGCAAAAAAAAAAAAGAAAATGTGAGAACAAAAAAAAGCATATCGGCAAATTAGCTCTTAGTCTTCTCAGTTGAGGCCCATTAGTTTGAGCAACTTCTCAGCCCAAATGTAATTGAAGAATGTTGAATGTTTATTGAAGAGATAGCAAGTTCACCAAACCAAAGGTCACCAAAGGATTAAGCAAACAGGATATCAGGATTTGATATCATATCTAAGTATTTATCATGTATTTATATGGTTTGGGGACTGAAATATTTCTTAACCATTTGGGTAACTTCTCTGGCAGGTGATTTTTATACTTCCTTCCCAATATTGGTATTCTACTATTAAACTGAGTAGTAAGTTCTTAGAGTCCCTGACTGATATGACATAGACACTCAGCTGGAACAGAATCTAATTTTGCATATTTAAAATTGCCACAAGTACAAGTCAAATAGATTGAAACTCTCCTAAAACTGAATTAACAAACACAAGACACTAGTAAAACAGCTTGGAAGACATCCAAGGAAGTCTTACTTACAGTCAACAGTAAGTTTAGCGGATGACTGTCCTCCTGTTGTCATTACAGAATATTCTGCACTATCAGCCTTTGTTGCTTCTTCTATGACCAAAATGTGTTTTTTGCCATCAACTTTAATGTAGTGTCTTGATCTTGGACCAGGGATGATTTCCTCACCATTCTTAAACCTGAGTTAAAATAGATTATAAAAAAAAGTTTTATAAAAGACCCTTCAGGAGACAGATACCAGACACTCAAGAACTTTTTGTTGAATTAAAGAATGTATGGATCAGTGTATCAATAGATTAATATTGTAACAAGTATTGTCTGAAAAATGACATTAAACACCCACTAAGCCCATTCTTTCCATTTAAGATCAATCAGATAAAGATGCTAACAATGGATATTACCTACATTTGGGCTCTTGACACACACTAGTAAGAATATCATTTTAATACACTTTAAAGACAGTTGTGATTCTAGATTAGAATGAACAATCTATTCTGTACCAATTACTAGAGAT